GGGGTTAGCTGGCTACTATAGAAGGTTTGTAGAGGGGTTTTCCTCACTTGAAGCTCCATTAACTAAGTTGACTTAGAAAGCAGTTAAGTTCCAGTGGTCAGACGCTTATGAGCAGAGTTTTCAAGAGTTAAAGAAGAGGTTGACCGCTGCACCTGTGTTAACCTTGCCAACAGGTTCGGGTGGGTTCACAGTGTATTGTGATGCCTCCAGAGTGGGCCTTGGTTGTGTTCTTATGCAAAATGGAAAAGTTATTGCTTATGCTTCTAGGCAGTTAAAGAATCATGAAAAGAACTACCCCACACACGACTTGGAGCTTGCAGCAGTGGTGTTTGCATTAAAGATATGGTGACACTACCTTTATGGCGAGCATTCTGAAGTGTTTACAGATCACAAAAGCCTCCAGTACATTTTCAAGCAAAAAGAACTAAATTTGAGACAGAGAAGGTGGCTCGAGCTATTGAAGATTATGACATCAATATCATTTATCACCCGGGCAAAGCTAATGTGGTAGCAGATGCACTTAGTAGGAAGTCAATGGGTGTCTTGGCCCATCTTGCAGTACAAAGGCGATCTTTGGGTCGAGAAATTCAAAAACTAGCAAATGATGGAATTAGATTGGATGAGACCGAAGAAGGAGATATAACTGCTTATGCCTTAGCGCAATCCTCCCTTGTTGCGCATGTTAAGGCTAAGCAAGACGAAGATCCGTACTTAGTGAAATTAAAAGAAGGAGTCAGAAGCAAAGAAATCACTACTTTCACTCTAGGAAGTGACGGAGTTTTGAAGTTGAATGATCGGTTATGTGTGCCTGATGTAGATGGTCTTAGGAAGGCCATAATGGAGGAAGCTCACAGTTCGAGGTACTCTATCCACCCAGGTGCTACCAAAATGTATCTAGATTTGAAAGAGTTGTATTGGTGGAAAGGCATGAAGAAACAAGTAGCAGATCATGTGGCTAAATGTTTGAATTGCCAGCAAGTCAAAGCCGAGCATCAGAGGCCTGGTGGCCTAGCTCAAGATATAGAGATACCACAGTGGAAGTGGGAGATGATTAATATGGATTTCGTAGTAGGTCTACCTCGCATGTACCGTAAGCATGAATCAATTTGGGTTATTGTAGGCCGACTGACAAAGTCCGCGCATTTCCTACCAGTAAAGACGACGGATTTCGCAGAGCAGTATGCGCAATTGTACATCAAAGAAATAGTCCGATTGCATGGTACTCCAGTTTCAATCATATCTGATAGAGGCCCTCAGTTCACGGCGCATTTTTGGCAGGCATTTCAGAAAAGATTAGGTACCAAGGTCAATTTAAGCACCGCATATTCATCCACAGACTGATGTCCAGGCAGAAAGGACCATTCAGACTCTCGAAGATATGCTGCGTGCGTGTGCTATAGATTTTGGAGGTAATTGGGATGATCACTTGCCACTTATAGAATTTGCTTACAATAACAGCTATCAGGCCAGCATTGGTATGACTCCTTATGAAGCGTTGTATGGGAGGAGATGTAGGTCTCCGGTGGGTTGGTTTGAACCACCAGAGGTACCGTTGATTGGTCCAGAGTTTGTTTGTGAGGCCTTGGAGAAAGTTCAGCTAATTAGAGAAAGACTTAAAGCGGCTCAGAGTCGTCAAAAGTCTTATTTTGACAAGAGGCATCGTGAGTTAGAGTTCATGGTTGGTGATAAGGTGTTTTTTAAAGTTTCACCAATGAAAGGAGTTATGAGGTTTGGTAAGAAAGGGAAACTTAGCCCTAGATTTATCGGACCTTATGAAATTCTAGAAAAGAAAGGAAACGTGGCTTATAAGCTAGCGCTACCCGTTGAGTTGTCCTCTGTTCATCCTGTCTTTCATGTGTCTATGCTTAGAAAGTACATTCATGATGAGTCGCATATAATACCTGCCGATACCATAGAAATTAAAGAAGGCTTGACTTATGAAGAGGTACCTATAGAAATTCTCGAAGGGCAAGTAAGAAAGTTGAGAACAAAAGATTTAGCATCGGTAAAAGTTTTGTGGAGTAATCATGATTCAAAAGAGGCTACGTGGGAGGTCGAGGAAGATATGAGAATGAAATATCCATATTTAAATTTTCAGATTTTTGTGTTATTGTTATATGCTATTTTCATGTTGAAAATTTATGAAGAAGAAAGAATCTTTAGAAATATTTTTATATGTTTATTTCATTCTTATACCATGCTTTACATTTAAGGACACCAATATGAGCATGTACATGATGTTCTATAAAGAAAAGATTTAGACTTGAAAAGTCACAAGAAGAAGTTTTAGAAAGAACAAATTTTTGGGAGTATCCTTTATTCTGAGAAGGGGTCATCGTCCAGGCCGAGGGTTCTGACCAAGGCGTTGACTTTCTGAAACTACTTGTGCCAAAGTAGGGAGCACACGAGACGAGGATCTCGTTGCTGAGAATTTACTTAGCCATGCTAAGGTATGATACATGAGCGCTGAGAACCATGAAGCGAGTGGCACCTCGTGGATTGGGCCTATTCGATCAGGTTGGGATCGAACCCGTGCCGATCACACAGTGACTGAGACAGAATTAAGTCAGGATAGTTGGAACTCCCAAAGTATAAAGTGAAGTAAGAAAAGAATTTCTTTTAGAATATTCATAAACTGTTATTATGCAATTATTTAGAATTATTCTTATAAGCTTTATGTTTTACATGCATTTAGAACCTTTGCTCGTAATGTATATGTTATTAAAATTTCGGCCCCTGTTATTGAGACTCACTGGGTACAATGGATGGTACTGACGTTCTCTTTTGGGAACCTACGTTGGTCTGTGGTACAACGTAGGGACCGAATTTGCAGGCGAACAGGCTACGAGTTAGGACTTCCTTCTCTTCCAGTGCTATTGGTGAGCTCCACTTTTGTTCGTGGAGTATTCCTTAGAGTCATCTTTATTTAGTTATTTCTTTGTTACTTAGAGAACTGGCCAGGAAATCTCATGTCCTGAGCAGTGCGTCAGTTTATCAGTAGAGGCTTCATAGACATAGTCGTTGGGTTAAGATTCAGATGTTTTGGATAATAACTTAGAAGTATTTCATTGGTTACTATGAATAAAGTTTTGGAGTTGATTTATTTAAACGTTTAAATTAATCAAAAGTATTGGTTAGAGTATTGCCTTGCTGCATATAAAGTTGGAGTTATAATAGATTTGATAAGCAGAGATGGTTCGCTCGGTCATGTTTAGTGATCGAGTGCCGGTCCCGGCTTGTTCAGAAAATGGGTCGTGACAACAATGGTGTCCGGCGCCATCACGATCCTTAGTGGATTTTGGGTCGTGACAAATCAACTCCAAAGGACTCTTCGAAAGATTTTGAGATTCTATTATCAACATTCCCATCAAATTGTTACTTCCTATATATCACACGTTTCTTACCAAATTCGGGTTCGATATGCATTTCAAGTGCAATTTTCTTGGAAAAAATTATAGCAGTTGCAAATCCTTCTTCTCTATACTTGTTAAAGAAATAAATTAAACTTTTTCACTTCACAGAACTTTTTTTTTAACTTATACATAGCCTATTAGGTGTAATAAAAAATGGGCTCCCACAAATATGAGACTTAATATAGTTACTTTATTTGCTTTATGAAAGGGCCACCCGCAAAAGGTTTGTGTCACATATATAGTATCTATTCATTCATGCAGCGTACTGTGGAATGTTTCTTCCAATGATCCAAACCACGGGTGGCTAATAGCTTAATCACATTATTGCTGGGAAGCTATTTGAATTTAATGTAAATACACATGCAATTATGCCAAAATATTACTCATTTTTCGTGTTTAGAACAATTACTCATTTCCTTAAAAACTAGTACTAACAGTCATTTTGCATCATATCAATAAAATCAGTTTTTAAAACTACTATTGTACTACTGTGGAACATAAATTCTTGCATAACTTAATGCATGTATTATTTAATATCATCATCAGATAATGTCCATAAAATTATGTAAGAATCTTTTTTTTTATATGGCCAAAACATGCATGGATTATTTTTTAAATCACTTTAACCAAACATAGTATTCCATCCGTTCAATTTTAATTAGCGTTATTTTCTTATTAGTTCATTTTAGAAAGAATATTGTGATTTTAGATTAAAATACAATTTAACTTTAAATTTTTTATTTTACTTTTTAGGAGCTTTTCATAGCCAAAAAGACTATTATGACATATTTAAAATCACAAATTAAATTATAAAAGTCTTACAACCACATAAATCTTATGGTACATTTAAAATCACAGTTTCAAAAAGGTTACTTTATTTCTTAATTCTGTATAAGTCAAAATCACATAATTGTAGTATTATCTTATACATAATTGATTCTATGAATTATTTTTTAAATCCTCCATTTGCCAGCTTAGGAACTAGAGGATAAGAGGAAGGCACGCAACATGCTGTGTGGGACCCAGTCAACGTCCGTAAAAGTACAGGCCTATTACTTCTGATGCGGGGGCCCACTCGGCCGGCGATTTACAGTTAACCGGTAAACTCATCCACCTGTGGGCTCCTCCTTACTCATAAAAAATCTTAACCATATTTGCTTAAAATATAAAACATAAGAGGAGCAAAATTGAAAAGAAAAATACAAGGCGAAATGAGAAAACCAAAAGAAAAAATTCCTACGGAGAGAGAAAAAATATTTCCCCCCCATTTTTCCATTTTTGTCCTCTTGTTCCTCCTCAACTTCTTTCAGAGAAATGGTCGAAGAGAGGTTCTTGTTTTGAGATCATCCTGCAAAGGCCAGTCAAAAGAAAGAAAAGAATCAAAAGATTTTTCCTTGTGTGATTTCAACATTTCTTCTTCAATCTCTGTTATTTCTATATTTTTCAACAACAACCCAAAAAAAAAAAAAAATACAACAATTTTTTTCCTTTTGCTGTCTTTTGGAGTCTCAAAACAAATTTGCAAATTTTGTCCCACCATCCCGCATTTTCCTATTGCAGTTGTTTGAAAAATAGTGGAGTATTATTTCATGAAATGTGACAAATTGACAATTTTACTTCTGCAACAAAAGCAGCAAAAAGATTTCATTGACAGTCCTGTTTGTCCCCTACTTTCTGGTAAGTTTTATTCTTTTGCATCTTTACATTTCACCATCTTTTGGGATTTTGGATTTTTGTTTTTCTGTTGATTGCTTGCAAATATAGTTATTCTCTGATCATCTTTTTTCCTCCCCCC